TCGTTTCCTCTTTTTGGAGGACCACAGTTTCCCAATAAATGTAGAAAGAGAGGCATTGATTAGGAGGAGGGTAGTGTAAGATAGAAAAGGTGTATTTTGACTATATTAGAAAGTAGAGCCCGTAGTAAGAGAGAAGTGACTGCCCAGCTTTCTACTCAGAGCAGTTGTGGAATCTCTGCGCCTGGGGCAGACTTTGGATGAGGAGCTGTGTTTTAGGCTGGAAGATTCATCCTAGATCCATCAGTACAACTTGCTTCAGGCATCAATTGAGTTGAGCTCCAGTGGTTGTAGGGAAGTGCCTGTCAGCCTCTGGAATGGCTGCCAGTCCCAGTGCTCAGTGTTAGAACATTCAACCTCCCCACCCCCTATATTTTCATAGGTAGTTTGAGGGAAGACAGATCAGAACGCTAGGCAAGAAATCTTTTCAAATAAAATGACTGTTCATCTAGTTTAAGTGGCAGCCCATTTGAATGTTAATGAGTTTGGAGGCAAGGCCTGGGAGACCTTAGATGTTATTAGCATATGTGCTCCCAAAAGTGGGTTAGACTATAGGGATTAAGCCAGGTAGGAAGGACCAGGAAGAGACTGAGCCAAGAGGGGCACTTAACTGGCAGGGAGCAGAATTTGGGGCAACATAGGAGAAGCAGAGGGCTGGGGAGTAGGTCAGCAACCAGATATCAAGTGGAGACAAGAATGGGGAAAATCTGGTCCACTCCTATAGTCCTGAAGAACTAGGGGGAGTGAGAGCAGGAGGGTGGGTAAAGCCATAAATGCAGAAACCAGAGCAGAAACATGTGGGATTGGGGTTATCATTAATAACAAATACTAAGTGGGATGCCTGGGTGGCTCAATCAGGATTGAGTGGCTGACTCTTGGTTTTGGCTCAGGTCATGATCTCAGGATCCTGGGATTGGAGCCCCTACTAGAGCTCCACGCTCAGTGGGGAGTCGCCTTCAGGGTAGGATTCTCTTTCTCCCTTTGCTGTCCCCCCTCCCTGCAAGTGCATGTGTGCTCTCTCTCTCTCTCTCTCAAAAAAAAAAAAAAAAGACACTAAGTCTGAGTGATGCCCTGGGGCTGGCAGGAGTCAAGCTGGATGGCTAGGTAAGCACTAGGCTGCTGGAGGTGCTGTGTCGAGTATGGTGGGTGCTGTTGCTGCTGTTCTGTGTATGCTGCACCCGCCTCAGTCCTGAGATGCCCAGGCCATCCCTGCTGCACACATGATGTCCCCCAGGCAGTCTGCAACACTGTCAGCAAGCAGGGTGGACAGGCCAGGATTTGTCAGCAGTAGGAAGGAAATCAGTCTAGTCTTCAGAAGTCTGGCTGTCCAGAGAGCAAGAGAGGAAGGAAGGAAGAGAGGGAGAGAGGGAGGCAGGGAGAGAGGGAAGAAGGCCATCAGGTAACAAGAGAAGAAGGGAGAGAAGAGGACAGGAGAGGAAAAAAAACAGTTTATATATATCTGGCCATCTCCTTCCTCCACTTAAAATCCTCTAACACCCAACTGTTGGTTAGTACTAGTAGTCATCTCTGCCTTTTTCCCCACACTGCAGAGCCCTGATTTTTGTTCTCTTGTCCATGTCTACCTTCCATGACTCAGGTGAATCCTAATTGAATTGATCCTTGCTGGTAATGATTTCAGTAGTTGGCCAGTGCCCCAGTTCCAGTCAATGAGATAGGTCAGAAGGTCAGCAAAGGGACCCTCTCCCTCATGAGTTCAGAAACTCATTCAAAAATTGTTAATGATTTGGGGCGCCTGGGTGGCTCAGTCGTTAAGCATCTGCCTTCGGCTCAGGTCATGGTCCCAGGGTCCTGGGATGGAGCCCCGCATCGGGCTCCCTGCACAGTGGGAAGCCTGCTTCTCCCTCTGCCACTCCCCCTGCTTGTGTTCCCTCTCTTGCTGTGTCTCTCTCGGTCAAATAAATAAATAAAAAATCTTTTTTAAAAAATTGTTAATGATTTATATAGTCAGCTTATTAAATGTTGTTCACTAAATAATCAGTGATTAAAACACACAAGGCCCTTGTGCTCATCACACATGTCTGTTCTCCCAGTTCTCCCCAATAAGCTCCATGAAAGCAGAGATCTGCCTTTTTTTCCCCAGCTTCTGGAGTGGTAGCTAGCACACAGTAAGCACTCAATAAAAACTTGAAGAATGAATGAATGAGCAAATGAATGAATGAATGAGCGCAGAAAGTGGGGAATTAAGGGACTCAGACATTGGGGGCATCTCTCACGTGGCCTGGCCAGTAAAACATTTGCTGGGATAATCAACTGTCTACTTTGTCTGGGACTGAGAAATTTCCTGAGATGTAGGACGTTCAGTGCAAAGACTGAGAAAGTCCCAGGCAAACCAAGACAAGTTGGTTACCCTATTCATGACCCTCCAAAGCAAAGGAGTTCCTCTGATTCTCCCTCACCTCCCACCCTTCTCTACCCATAATCTTCTGGGTTCATCTTTCCATTCCACCTCAAAATGAAAGGAAATTTTTCCAACCTGGTTATTGCTTCCTAAAATGGCAGGTTCTCAAGCCTGATGAGCTATCTATTTGTACCATCAGAATTTTAAATCCTAGACCCTTCATTTCTGGGAAGAGTACAGGCCTATTTTCAACCTTTTGTATTCATCTTTTTCAACTTCCTTTAGCTTCCTCATCTCTTTACCCTTTGCTCCCAAGACTGTCCAAGCAGTGCATGGTGGGTACAGAACTCCTCGTCCTTTGGAAGGTCTCCCCAAATCAAATCACTATAGGGATGCCAACTAGGAGGTGCAGAACAAGTCAGTACATGCAACAAAGCATGAACATTTGTGCATCTTAGCCTCCTATTTTTGAGACACCTGCCAACAACTCTTCCATTGCCTCTACCAAGCACTTTTTCTCTTCTACAATGAAATCTTTAGAGAGAAAAAGGGAAAATATAGGTTTGGAGTGTATATGGACATGCATCTAAACTGTCAGTGGGCTCTTACTAGACAAACTGAAATTTACTGTTAATGTAAACCAGGAAAACTCTGAAAATGACCAAAAAAGCTAATGGAGACCCAAACTGCAATCATTTTTTTGTTTGTTCTATGGCTTGGGGTAATGGTGTAAGGCTCTGAGCTCTTGCCAGAATTTCAGTTTTCTGATTCCTTGCCCAAGTGTTCTCTGTATTCAACGTCAACATGATACAACATCTATGTGTATATATGTCAGTAAATTATTTTCATATTCATTTCTCTATTTAAATATTTCAATTGGACATTTTTTAAATAAGCATCTAGAACAAATCTGCACAAGGGAACAGGTGTAAAGTTTTTTACTGATGCAGATTGGTTGGACTACTTAGTAAGGATTGTTGAATTTGGGGCATATTTCAATAAGGAAGAAATTCAGTCTTTGACAGGTTTTAAAGGTAAATCCTGCTCTCAAGGCATTTTTATGGGTTCTTCTATGACCTATACTGGGCATTTTTATGGGTTCTTCTACAACCTGCCTATCACTAGGATCCTTTGTGGTGTTCCTGGCATGCACAGTGACAGGGATGCCAACTAGGAGGTGCAGAACAAGTCAGTACATTGGCCAGTGCCCCAGTTCCTTTGAAAATCAGGTGGTTCACCCTCCTTTTGGCAGCCACCTTACCCATCAGGCTCTAGCAGGATCTAACATGGCCCCAAGGCTGTTTCTTTCCCACAGCTCACCTCTGGCCTTTGGGAAACAGTCAACACATCTGTTTTTACAAATTAACTCCTCTTTACTTCCCTGTGTGAGCCTCTTTCCAGTCAAGTTTATCACAGTTAAGTTTCTGAAACATGAACCAGAAACCAGTCCGTTGTATGTCCCAAACCCCAGGAGTCACAAATGAAGCTCTTTAAGTGTCCTGTTAAAGCCCCTTATTCCATGTGATATGGTTTCTGTTGATGCTCTGCCCACATCCCCTTCACTAGGTGGGTACACCCATCTCCTGGTTGCTGTGTCAGTAACAACTCACAGCTGCCCCTTACCCAGCTAATGCCCCTCCAAGGACCAAGAGCTGCCTCACCTGACAGGTCACACCTCTCACACCCACGTTAGCCAGTGGCCGATGACTGACATGGGGCCCAAGAGGCCAGACCCCTTGCCTCGAGGTGGGACCACTCCACGGGGTACTTCATGCTCCAGAGCTCCCTGTGGGATCAGGCTGAAGCTCATCTCCAGCTGAGACCTCACCCTTGCTCAGCTCCTTCCCCTATCCCCCATGCTTCTCTCACTTCCCACCTCCTGAGAGCATGCCCTCAACAAGCCACTTCACAAGGATTCATGTCTCAGGCTCTGTTTCTAGGGAATCCAACCTAAGACATAACCTACCATCCATGGAAGCAGGTTGAGTGGGTGAAACTCACAACACCCTATCAGCTATTTGCAAAAACCATATGTCCATCTGACCATATCCACACTTCATGCCCTTCAGTGGTAAGTGGCAGTGATAAGTGACAAGGGTATCCAAATAGATTTTAACCACTTTCTTGTTAAATCCAGCACAGGTGGGCAAGGGGAGATGGTAGCATCTGTTTGCTTTGCTAGGGGCCAGGAATGGAATAATTTCCTTTGACTTCCTGATACGATATATATAAACTTCCAAGCACATGACAGGAGCCAGCTATTCATCTGGATCTTTAAAATAATATATTGAGGACTCATTGCATGCCACATGCTAAGTTCTCTGGTAAGCATTATATCATTCTGTCCTCATAGGGATTCTTCAGGGGGACACAATATGATTAATCCTATTTTATTGATCTTCATTCATAAAACTTCATTCATAAAACTCAGAAAACATTCAGCACCTAGGCCTAGTTCCAAACCGAGGTTCTGCCTAATATTTATTCAACCTTTCTCTTACAGAGCCAGTCTCCCCCCTCCCTTCCCCACCTGAAACTGCTCTCCCTTTTCCAATTTGGTGCTCCTGGCCTCAGTCCACAGTGATTCAAGAGCTCCTAATTTCTTCCTTGTTGACACTTTGATGTTTTCTTCCTTGGCATTCAGATCTGCGTGACTTCCGAAGAGGAGCAGGATGGCTTTATCAGAGTCCTCAGTGGAAAGAAGAGAGGCCTCGTCCCCCTGGATGTCTTAGAAAACATCTGATTGCTGGCCCTTCCTGCCTTTGCAGTGGCCAGGCTCCGCTGCGATGTCTCATCTCACACTGTGTCCACGCAGAGGAGCTGCCGCACTGACCCGCCCCCCCCCCCCCCGGGAAACAGTGAGACAAGACTCACGGATCTGAGACTGGGGTACCAGCCACAAGACAGAGGCCCCATCTCACAGCATTGCCGGGCTGCCCACGGTGGGGGCGGGGCTGAGAGAGCTGAGTGCCGTGCAGGTGGTGGTGGCGGCAGGGCGGTAGCCACAGCTGTCCCTGAGGACCCACCTCATCCCTGTCCATGTGATGTAAGTTAGCCCACTGGAGTGTGGCGTGGGCCCAGTGCGAGGCTCGGATCCCCACAGCCAAGTGTGATTCTGGTTCCAGACGCGTGTCCCCAATGCTGGCCCATCCGCATCATCACATTTGCCGTCTCTCTGCAGAGCATCAGGAAGTCCTGCTTCCCAGCCCCCAACATGCGAGGGCTCCCCGCAGCCCCCTCACTTTGTGATTGCGCTGTCTCTTCTGTCCTCCGAGTGAGTCCTAGGGGTGCTGTGAGATGTGAGGACTGAGCTGGTGGCACCAGCTGCTATTCTAATTACCGACAGAGGTGCCAGAGGACATGAGGCACTGATACAGAGGGCAAAGTAGGAGTAGGTGGGGCAGAGAGCCTGATTTATTGAAGATTATGCAGCCCCTTCAGTTAGGAAAGCATTTCCCTGCGGAGATGAACCTGGGAAAGAAAATGGGGCAAGAAGTCCCAGCAAAGAGCCCATTTCATTTCACGTCTTCTGTACTAGGGGCAGCATTTTCCCTCATGCCATCCTGGAGGAACCCCTTTTGGAGGCTGAGCCCACCCTGGAGAGAACTAGGAACATGGAGGAGAACCAATAGCATCTTAGGAGAAAAGTAGCCAAATCAAAATCCATTCTTCTCTAGGGCAGTATATTATACCCTAGCAGATGTAAAATGGAAACAAATCCTTAGTGCTTCATCCCTCAGAAAGTAGAGGAACTTGGGTCCTATTTAGCATCAAGTAGGAGAGTCTCTCTTACTCTATACTTGTACTAATGTTTACAAGCATTCGATATACTGTGATGCCTCCCTCCGCAAGCCTCCTCCTAGCATTCAAACTTGCATCTGATTACTTAGTCATTAATATGGTTAAACTTCAATTCATAATGACCTTGGGATCAATGTCAGCTCAATTTATTTTGTTACAGAGCAATAAAAGCATTAGAACAACTGGTTTTTAAAAGACTTAAGTGGGTACATCTTATGCATGTAAGCATTACTTCCCAAACCCTAGTGTCATTAATCTCCATTTATTTCTTTTGTTACTGCTCAGCATGATGTTGGGAGCTGAGAGGGGATGGCTGCTGGTTTCACAGTAGTTTGGTTGCCTTACTATCATTTTAAAGCCAGCATCCAGAATTTTCTCCCTCTCCAGTACAACCTGCAAAACTGAGTGTACAGAGTCAAGATGGGTTCTCCGAGAACCAGGGTGGATAATATGACTGCCATTCTCTAAAATGGAATGCCAGAGTACAAACACTCTCTGCCTCTAACTGAGTAGTCCATTGAATAAAGACAACACAGTGCCTGGAAGGAGCATAGAAAACGTGTGTCCTGATCTTTCTGGTGGAGTATCCACTGAAGTTTTTGGGTACAGTGGCGTCATATCCTAGACAAATTTAACTTGCATTACAAAATCAGTTTGCCTTTGGAAACCGAATAGAAGGAGGCTGCTGTAGCCAGCCCCCAAGGTGGTCCCCCAGTGCTCCCCCGCATCCTGATATTCTCGCCTTTGTGTGGCCCACTCCCACATTGAATCAGGACCGATCTTATGTGACCAATAAAATACAGCAGAAGTCCTACCACATGACATCTGAAGCTAGGCAAAAGAAGTCCTTGCAACTTCTGTCTTGCTCTCTGGGAACACTCACCGTTGGAACCCTGAGCCACCATGTAAGTTTATCTACTTTGAGGCCACCGTGTGGGGGAGGCCCAGTGGACAGACCATATGTGTCTGCAGCTGGGATTCCAGACATCAGCAGCCATCCCCTCTCAAGTGATAGATTTATGAACCAAGTGATAGATTTATGAACAAAATAAATACGATTTGGTGGTTTTTAAGTCACTACGTTTTGGAGTGATTTGTTTTACAGAAATAGATATCTAGAACAGGGACTCGTAATTTGAGCCAATGTTAGAAAGAAGAAAAAACACACATCCTGCACAAGGAGGCCCAGAATTTTTACAAACATCAAGTACTGGTGGACAGTGAACCCTCCCAATGCAAGATATCTGGTGTTCCTTAAAGATCTGGAGTCTTGCAGATATCAGAGAAAAAGCTACTCTTCAATGCAGATTGCCGCGGATATTCACACACACACATATACATACCCAGACTTTAGGAGCCACAGCATTTATTCTCCTCCCGCCTGTCTGCAGAAATGGCAAGAACAAGGACAGCTGTGACCTACCAAAGTCCTGAAGGTCTCCAAGATTCAAGAAATGGCGGGGAGAAGATCCACCGTTTGGGAATGGGAGTGAGATGAAGGCCTCAAGAGACAGATTCTGGAGAGGGAGAGGGTTGGAGAGGAAGTGCTAATACGAAGGGAAAAAAGGGGGGCCTGAGGGGATATTCTTCATAGTGTGAGAGAACAGCCTTGTGCCCCCTCACCTCCTGCCCCTGCCTGCAGCTAAGGGAGGGCATATATCTAACTGGAACAGGGATGCTCTGCCCTGTACTCCATTACCAGTGCTATAGGACTTGGATTCTATAGAGGTGAATTTGAAGTGAAGAACTGATTAAACCTTCCTCAGGACTTCAGGATGTAAAGAATAGAACTTCTTTTTACCCCATCACCAGCAGACAACTGAGACTCCTTTAATGTGGGCTATGGGCTACAAAGAGAGCCCATGTGTAGATGTCCAACTGACTACTAGTAGGGTTGATTTCACAGACCACCTCCTTCCTCACCTCTACACACCAAATACACACATACACACGCTCCTGTCAGGAAGAAGAGTCCAGCATCTGGGTCATATATTTAAAGCAACCAATGAGATGGTACATGGTAGGCACTTTTTAGAGTTAGTGTTCTTCACTATTAAAGGGGGAAAAATAAAATCAGGGGGAAGGTCATGGTACTTGTAAATAGTCTGGTGTCAAGTACTGCTAAAACGTAAAAAAGCAGCAAGGAGGCCCAAAAGCCAGTCGAGGTCTCTGAAAAGGGTCAGGAAGGAAACCTACTGGTTGACCTTAGCCTAGAACCAGGTGCAGGCAGCTGTAAAAAAGTGTTGTGTGCTCAACTAGCTTAGATTTAAATAAAATAAACCAGGCTTCTTTACTCAGGATTTCCCAGAGCCTTTAATTTCTTAATTTTCACAGTAAATCTATAAAAGGGGATTTAGACCCATGGAACACCTATTAGGATCAACTAGTCTATTCCAAGGCACATAGTTCAGAAAATGCTGTGGTAGAGAATTCTCATATAATATTGGATCCATCTAATACCCTCTCTCTCTTCCTACATCTCACTAAGATACCCATGAATTACTGAAAAGGACAAAAGTACATAATCATAGTAAAAATGGAGGCTGAAAGACAATCTACTCTGGAATCAGTATTTAGGGAGTAGGAGAAAGTGGGATCTGTGTCCCCAGTGGGTGAAAAGCTCAGGAAGAAGAGTAACTTTCTCATGCTCTAATGGCTTTAGCAAATACTGAGCAGTAGGGCGTAGGCTGGTATAAATCTGGGAGTAAAAGAGAGTTCAGCATTGCCCAAAATAGCCTCCCCAGGAAACTGAGTGAGCAGGTGTGTTCCACAGCTTTAACACAAAACAAAAATCCTTACGAACAACTCGGACCAAAAAAAAATTAAAACTGGTTTAATGATATCCCATAACGGTGTCTTAGATTTTGCTCAGTTGCAATTCTTCTGTGTGTTTTGTAGAACACCTGGTGTTTTTGACCCTTAGAATATATTTTCTTTTCCTTAGCTTCCAATAAGGAGTTTTAAATAGTCCTCAATCTTCCCCTGGGTAATAGAAATGTAACTGTACCTCAAAACAGTAACAAGATAATAGCAATTTATTTTATAGTTCCTTTTTAAAAATGAAAAAGTAGTAGGCTTTTTTATCATCTCACCATTAAGTTTAAACAGCTGTCAAACATCTTCCCTGTGTTCATGGAAGTCAGGATGTACTGAAATCCTGAAAATACACCCTGGAAAAATACAATACCTATTTCCAAGAAAAATGGTGGATCCTCTTTAGATTTCCTCCACTGGCCTCATTTCCTCAGGTTCTCAGGTTACACCTGACCCCATCTGTTTTTATGCATGGCAATATTTTTCTTTATCTTCTCCTTTTAAACAAGTTTCCTAAAAATTGTTTTCTTAGTTTACTTTCATTCTTTACTAAGGTAAAAAAAAAAAATCATCCAAGGTTATGACTTTTCCTCTGAGTTCAGCTTTGACCATATGAAAGTGTTCCCATTTCCATTCATTTCTAAATACTCTGTAATTAGAGTTTTGATTTTCCCATAGATTTTTATTTTGTGTGTGTATATGTGTGTGTGATTAGAACCATTGTGCATTGTGGTCAGAAAATATGATCCACAGGGTTTCTGCTTTGAGGAAATTAATTGGCATTTTGTGCTCTAATATATGACTAATCTTTAGAAATGTCCAATGGATGCTGGTAAAAAAAAGAGAACTCATGTCTATAGTATATAAAGTTTAATATGTATCTGCTAAATAAACAAAGTGTTCAGGTCATCTGTGTTCTCATGTATGATTACTAATGTGCTCTCTCAAAGACACGGAAGTCAAGAGTAAACAACAGTGGACTGAAATAAGAGACATCTTGCAAGGATCTCCAATTGCTTGGTTGGTGCCAGCCCTTGGAGGGAGGAAATGCTCTTCACCACAGCTTCCCCTTTTACATTTAGGTTGAATCACTAATGTCAGTTCTTAAGTAAACATTCTCTTTAACTCCCTGGAGGAAACTGTAAAGGACCCACTTTTAAGTGAAGAGGTTCCAAAAATATTCTCAGAAAACTTTAATATTGGGTCAGGGAATTTTGAAAGAAAAAATTACAGTGAAATCAACAATCACCGTTGGGCTAAGACCTCATCACAGCTCCAGTGTGTGCCACCCACAAGACTGGGAATGGTGGAAATAACATCATAAACTGATGAAATGTATTCATACCTAAGAGTCTAAATCTCAACATGGTGAATCACAAGCTGCTGGTATCAAACATGGATGTTTCTTTGGTCATTAGATGCTTGTCATTTTTACAGTGAACTCAACAAATACTTGTTGGAGTCTACTGGGAATGACTGTCATCAAACAATAATACTGAAAATGTATACTTAGTGCTATAATAGAGAAACAACAGTGAACCACAAGAATATGCTAGAATTATGCTGCTTCCATTAGGAACAGGGTCTACAAAAGTTCAAACCTCTCATGCCAAAAACGTTCTGGCTTTCCAAAAGGCAATTTTAGACTGAATGTGGTAAAGCTGCTTTTCGGGTATCTTTTTTATAATTTACCAACACTGGAAGCACTCTAGTTTCATTAGAATTTATGGATGATGAAGGAGGATATTTTGTGGAGATAAGTTGTATTAACCTTAAAAAATAAAACTACCAGTTATTTTACCATCAAAAATGGATTTATTCAGGAAGAGCAGAGAATTGCAATCCCAGATAAGCAAGCTATAGCACAAAGGAGAAGACTGCTCTTTTATAGAGGAAAAGGGGAGGGGCAGTTGGGGAGGCTGTAATAAACAAAAAGTCCATTGGAGGAAACTGGGAGTCCTAAGTATAGTGGCTTTTCATTGGCTGTCTATCATCATGACTGTCTCTAATTAGCTGAACCACTGCTACCAAGGGTGGAGGAAGCCTGCCTTCCTCCTGCTGGGATACTACGGTAGCATCCAGGTGCAAGATTCTGGCTCTTCCTGTTTGGTCTGCAATTGATGAGGAGTGTAGGGCATGACAACTTTCCCTGATGACCTCCCAACACCATTCTAAATAAGATTTCCTTTTACTAATTTTCTCAGGTGAAGCAATATTTTGTAAAAGTGAGCCAGTTCTTCAGCAGGGTGCTCTAGTGTTGAGTGTTTGTGCAATATTAGCAGTATTAGTAGGAGATTGGGTGGGAGATAGAGGAGCTGGTGAGGAGGAGGGGATAGGGTTAGGTGAGCCCATGGTGTGGTGATAGAAGGAGAAGGCTGCTTACTTATCTATGCCAACTCTTATTCCAAAGAGCATTTAGGTTCTTGAGCTCATCTCCAGAGAAATGCCCCAAGGAGAGAAAGCCATCTGGTAAGACCTCATTCATCCCACATCAATCTTGATGTCTAGGACCCTAGAAAAATAATTCAGAGAATAATAAAGTTTAAAACATCTTCAAAATGGAAACACAATAGAGACTTCTTCACAACAGGGGAAACAAGGATTTTTTTTAAATCACAGATCCTGTAATTTGGGCCAGATTCCTACCTTATACATGATGAACCTCACAAGAGCCTTCCTGCTATAGAAAGACCATGAAATTTCTCACCCTAGTGCTGTAGTTGCTTTTCCTTTCTTCAATCACAGGAAAAAAAGGTAAAATCTTAAGTATTCAGAAATTAATTTTATAGAATCCATAACTCTTACAGACATGTGATATTAAAACCATAAAATTCAATGCAATGAAGCAGTGCAAGGCAAATCTTCTTGAGCCAGTGCTGGAAATAAAGAAATCCATGGGCTCTGGGGACCAGTAAATGTTACTTGTACCCAGGAGGATCACCATTCGAGGAGTATCATGAACTCTCAGCAAAGGGTATTGGGTCAGTGAGTGTGCCAGGACTTGGGCAGAAGGGAAGGGGCAGGAAGCAGATGAGATTCCAGTTGGGGCACTCCGTAGGGTGGGGATGGAGCAGCAGCAGGCTCTAAAGGATCACTAGCAAAGTAGCAGGTCCTTGCAGGCTATGTTTCTCAGAACTCTGGGGGGAGATCTGTGTTGGCAAAGGGAAGAAATTCTTTACAAGCCCTAGGAGTGTGAGACCCTCAGGAATGAGCTGAAGTCACAACAGATTGATATTAACCTGACTTTTAGAAAGAGTAGATCCTGATATCTACAGAGCTTTACTTTTGCCCCTGGAGCCTGCAAGCTGGACCCCCAGGGAGCCTCCTTGAACTTTAGAAAAGAACCCTTGGGCCCTACTCCAATGAGACCCATTGAGGACTTTTAACCTCCACACTGTAAAATAATAACTTTGTATTGCTTAGGCCACTAAGTTTGCATCACTTGTTCCAGCACCAATAGAAACATATGGCATCGCACCACCTCTTGGGAAGGTGGAGAGAGAATGGGGGAAATCTAACTGAATGTCATTGTTGCACCTTAAGAACATGGCCAAGGAGAACCAAAGCCTGCAAACACAGATTAGGAACAAAGAAAGAGCTCCCAAAACTCAGAAAAAGCCAACCAAAGAGAATAGGAAAAATGCAATAGTAAGGTAGTAATATGCAACCAGTGTGGGAAGCTATTATTTCCTTTCCTGGATAGTAATAGACCAATTAGCCTCTGAGGATGAGAAAAGTAAGAAAGATGTCTTAGTTTGGCCAGTAAGAGTACATCCAAGAGTGTGTGCACACACACAAACACACACACATTCTCAGATTTAATTAATATTATGCTGTGATACAGATTTTTTAAAAAATTTTATTTATTTATTTGAGAGAGAGAAAGCACATGAGAGGGGGGAGGGTCAGAGGGAGAAGCAGACTCCCTGCTGAGCAGGGAGCCCAATGTGGGACTCGATCCCGGGACTCCAGGATCATGACCTGAGCCGAAGGCAGTTGCTCAACCAACTGAGCCACCCAGGCGCCCTATGCTATGATACAGATTTAAGCAGTTATATGTTCTTTGATTCAGCTCGTTGGTTTCAAAGCTTTCCCTTACCAGTTTTATTCACATGAAGCAGGGTCTCATTGTCCAGGTCTCTGGAAGGAGCCCCCCTGGACCTCTCTTTTCTTGCAGCTGGCTTCAATCCCTTCTTCCTCCACTGTCCCCATCACCATCACCACCCAAGACCCGTCCTACTAGAAAAAAATCCAGCCTCCTTAAGAAAATAACAACTCTCTTGTATATTGTAAATTTCATAGCCACCAGAGATGAATGTAAAAGATTTTTCCCCCCTCCCAATTTCTATTTCTCCCAGAGGGGAAGGGTGGATTTTGGTTTCAGTGACCTCGGCTTTGTGTGATAAGGAGGTAACAAGAGCAAAGGTGAGCTCCAGTGCCATGATAAGGAGATGGTTAGATGTTGGGAACTCCACTCCCGGCTCTAATTTGTTTTTCAAATGCACTTTATATTTCAAGACAGATCAATCTTGAATGCAGTAATAAGTAATTTATAAAGCACGGGGAAAGGAGATGTCTAATCAAAAATGGATTGTGGAAAATAAGAATATAACACAACTGGGGTGAGTCAGGCAGATGAAGAAACCCTGGGAGGGTTATGAGACATCATAAAATGTGGGTGATATCAATATTCTGTAAGGGTTGGGGTAAAAACAGAATTGGTACTGGGAGAGGTGAAATGGAAGGGAAGACACTCCTAGGAGCAAGAGAGGGGGGCAGGCTACAGATGAGGGAGACCCATGTCTGAGTGGCAGAGCCTGTAGCCATATAGGGCAATGACAAGGGACCCGTGGCAGTGCAACAAGGTCAGCCAGCCTGCTTGGCAGCCTCATCCTGGCACTGTGTGCTCAACAGCTCCCCCACCATTGCAAAGGCTTTTTTGGTGGTGGTTCTTCTTCAGAGGCAATCTCAAAGCCAGAATCATCTTCCTAACGCATCACTTTGATCCTGTTGCTTCCCCACTCAAAACCCTCCAGTGGCTCCCCGCCCCTCCCCATCCCCCCATCCCGGTCTACAGAAGCAAGTGCAGCCCCTACAGTGGAGTCTTCTCTGATGACCCCAGACCAACCTCAGTACCCCTGAAACTACACAGCCTTGACCAGATCCACTCAATTGGCATCTGTCATTTCTTGTCCAACCGCTGGCAATTTTTAAGGTTTATTTCAGTAAATAGACTCTACACTCCTTGAGGGCAGAATGCTAGGCTGGATCACCCTGGAGAAGGAAAACACTCTCTTTGTGATAAGTTCAGAGTACCATGGAGTCATTTCTCATCCCCAGCCCCGTGGGCCATGACCAGCACACCATTCCGCCTCTTAGCACATCAGGGTCATGGCACTGGATAACCATGACCTCTGCTATAACAGATTGGATCAGTCAGCAAAGCCCACCAAGATAGAGATCAAATTCGAGACTTGGACTAGAGCTTGGGTTTTGTCCTGTCCCTTGGCAGGGAATGCAGCTGCAGTCTCAGTCACAAGGTAAGGGTGTGATGTTGCAGATCCATCATCACCTCCTGAGAAACAACTTAAAGAGCACTTGATGACAGGGCTGCCTCCACAAGGCCCCTTTGTGCATCTACTGTCCTCCACCTCCATCACGTTTCAAGACAACTCAGGTTGTGGGGCAATGAGGGGAAAGAATAGGAATTGTTTGGATTGTATGATTTTTAAGTCTCAAGTTATGAGTGATGTTAATAGCAAAGTGTATTGAGTAAGTCTGTGTCTTAGATTAATGGTAAGACTTGCATTAGCGCCCAGAAGGAGAAACTGTGAGCCTTTCACCCAGATGTTCCCACAAATTGTCCCAGGCCTCATGCAGTGTCATGACAGGTAGCGGCTCTGCACTCA